ACATGGGTCTGAGGGACACTGGACCATAGCTGTCAACTTACAGATTTGAAAATAAGGGATCAGCAGCCTTGAAAATAAGGGACCTGCAGCAGCCAAAATAAGGGACCTGCAGCCTCACCTGTTCCAGGCACTCCAGTCTTCCTGTCCTCCTGCAGTCTGGTCAAACTCATGCTGGTAGCTTCGAGAACACTGTCCAATCAACTTTGTAACCAGAGGTTCAACTGAACAGAATCTGAATCACATGCACCACAAGGCCTATGCAGCCTCAACTTAAGATGGCTCCCGGCCTGGCTTTGCACTGCAAAGTTTGCAGCAGCACGTGCAACAAAATGGCGTCCAGCATTCAAAAACCTCCTCAGCTTGCATTAACTAGCCACACACAAGGCATGCAAGCTCCACCCCCCAGTCGTTCTCAGACTCCTTATTGGGTGAGCAACGCAGCCAAGCAACACAGTTGGAGCCTCCCTCCTCCCTGGCAGGCAGGGAGGGAGGGAGAGGAGCTGCTTCCTTTGAAATTTAAGGGACATCATTTAAGGGACATTTAAGGGACATCCATCAATAAGGGACAGCAGCGGGACATGGCGCTGGAATAAGGGACTGTCCCTTCAAATAAGGGACACTTGACAGCTATGTGCTGGACTGGCCCACAGCTGAAAAAGGCTGCTGACCCCTGCTTTAAATGGAGGACTTCATCAAATAGAGGACTGCCTCCTGTAAAAGCAGGTCATCCGGTCAACCTAAGTAGGACATGTGCTTTTGCATGCATAAGGTCCCTGGTTCAGTCCCCACATCTCAAATTAAATGAACTTAGGGATTTAGAGGTTTTGGGAAATAGGTACATTATTTGAGAAGCGTATGCTTACAATAAATCTGTACAACTTCAGTTTTAACTTTAGAGCAAATGCTGGACGTCTTCCTCATTTTAAAGTCAGGGTGGAACATAACTGAATTTGTAGTAGTGTGAAAACTCAATTCGGAGATTGCTTTTTTGTGGTTTCTGAAATAGGACATTTCTATAGATGAGTGGGAAGGAGCCCCAGGATCCTTTGCGAGGGAGGGTGGATTTAATCAATCAATATAAAGGCCCAGAAAGATTAAATGTTTGCTCTCCTTGTATTCCTATTTATCTGGTTGGGGGGGAAAGACCGGTTTTTCAATAATTCCAGGGAAGTCTAAGACTGAAGCAACAGGAAAATAATTTAATTCATTGAAGTTCTTTTTCTTCCCTGTAATTCTGTTGCACCCAAAGGGAAATACATCAAGATATATATATATAAAATTGTTATGTACTGAGTTGAATAGGATCCAAAATGCAGCAGCCTGATTGGTCCTAGAACAATGCAGCAGTCTGATTGGTCCACAGGAGCCACCCAATCCAGCTCCAGGTGGAAGTGAATCCACAACCTGATTGGCCTACAGGAGGATCCCAGAATAAGCAATCACATGGGGGCCATTGTGTAAATAATGTATATAAAGCAGACATTTTGGGGGAACTGGCATTCCTCACTACTATGAGCTAAATAAAGGGCATGAAATCCACACTCGACTCCGAGTATATTTCAAATATAAACAGCATTAAAAAATAGTTTAAAACAAATTAAATTCACTACTAAACTGTTTTTATTGGTGTATTTTATATTGCTATAATTTGCCTTGATAATGTCTGGCACAGGGCAGGTGGTAACAACAACAACTACTACTACTACTACTACTACTACTACTACTACTACTGCAACTTTTTGGACAACAAATGATATTAAGCTGACTCTGGAAGTGAGGTTATTTTATTCTGCACATGATTTGTGATAGAGAAGAAGACTGGCTGGGTTCTAAGAACTGATCCAGTCCTGTCTGTTGCAATGACCAATACTTTTTAAAAAGTAAAAGTTGAAAAGGGGCAATTCATCGCCTCTATTCCAAGTCAGGGTGGGTAAATACTGTGTGTCAATTTCTCTCTCTCTCTCTCTCTCTCTCTCTCTCTCTCTCTCTCTGTTTCTCATTTTTCCATATGAGAAGTTCAAGTTCACATTTCTACATCAGATTGCAAATTTCTTTTTTTTTTTTTAATCCTCATGAAAGTTCTAGTGTGCATTTCTTTTAGTGTACACATTTTGGTGTGCAATTTGACCTAATATGCACATTTTTGGAAAGCATATTTCCCTTAACATTTATATTAACATCCCTAATATAATGCATTTTTTCATGTTATTTTCACTTATATATGTATTTTATGCATACTTTAGTATATGCATTTTGGTACACATTACTTGGCTGGAGAACTGCATCGCACCGTTCGGAGAATGTGAATTTTGAAGAATGGCTGTGTTTTGCTTTGCTTATTGTTTTGAAAAATGCAAATTAGCTAGATTCACCTTTAAAGTTGAACTGAACTGAACCTCTGCTCCCTTAATTCTTTTTTTCTCTTTTTCTTTTTTTTAGTTTTTCCTTTATTACTCACAAGCATATCTTTACATCATAAATTTACATCTTACAATTATACATATTCTTGTTTTCAGAGTATGTTCATAATTATTATTATCATAGATCGACAAGTATTACTGTACACACAAAAAAGAAAAAAATGTAATCTTAAAACCATAATATTCTTCATAAATGAACGACTTCCCGTCTCTTCCATTTTGTACTAATAAACTTATTGCCTATATTTGTCCATTGTCTTTTTATTTATAATATTTTCTTATCTATCATTTTCCTTTTAAAATTGTTACCCACAGAAACTACTCAAAGGCTGTTACTGTTTTCAGATTGCAGCAATTACTCTTAAAGTATTCCTTAAAACAATTCCAATTTGAGACAAACTTCAGTTAAGATTTATCTTTGATTCTTTCTGATAAGTAGTCTAATTCCGCATACTCTGTTAGTTTTTGTATCCAATCAGATCTGGTAGGTACACATCTGCTTTTCCAATGTGTAGCTATTATAACCCTTGCAGCTGTGGTGGCATACAGAAAGATCTTCCTGGGTTATTGGGGGGGGGGGGGATATCCAAACCAGTAATACCTAATAAGAATGATTCAGTGGTTTTTTTTGAATATTCACTTTCAAAATTCTTTTTAGTTAATCCCCCTGCTTGTCCACCACATATGAAATGTTTTTCCTCCAGGTTCTCCACAGCTCCAACAGTTATTATACATCTTAGCAAGTTTACAAGGTGTCAAGTGCCAACGGTAGAAACTGCTCCCATGAGATGCAAACAGGAGCCTCCTGTGGATTAATGTAGAGAAAAATAGTGTGATGCTTAAAATACTGACATTAAACTAAATATATGAAAATTATATCCCGGTCAACTGTTAATAATTTAGGCTACAACCCTATTTTGCATTTCCCTGGGAGTTACCTCCATTAAATACGGAAGGACTTAAGGAAACATTGTAGGTTTTCACTGTTAATGTCCAAGGGTTACAATAGTAATATATCCATTTAATTAAAAAAAAAAAATACTAAAGAACAAAAAGCTAGTGTCAGTTAAATTAGATTCTTTAAAAATAATAACCATATCAAGTTGAGCCAAAATACTGAAAAAATGTTTTAGGACATGGAATCCAATATATTTAAAATGCATATATAGCAAACCAAAATATAATCTCTCTTTCCAATGGTGCAAGTTCAGAAAAAAAACACCTGTCTATTAATATTGCCTAATTCTAAATATCTTTATACTTTTAAGTTAAAGGAGCTCTATCTCCTACGCTCTCAGTCAAGCATATTCTGTGGAAAAAATAGCATCCTCTCACCCAATCCTGTGCACTGCGTTTTAAAAACTGTAATAGAAGGAGTTTCAGGACTTCATATAATCATTATGGATTTAGATTTCATTTCCCTCAGTTCAGTTTGATTTTGCTACTGAAGAAAGGTTAGTAATGTACAGAACTGTCCTGTCTGCGTTTTCTCGGAAACAAGTCCCACTTCTATCAGTGGGATTTACTCCCAGGTAAACTGTACCAGTTTACAGTCGGGAGGGAGAAGCTTTTGCCCAAAAAATCTTTTAAGGTTGTGTTTTGCTTTTTAATTAATAGCTGCCCCTCTTTTCTCTGCTCTCTTTTCTCATTAATCTGCCCAGAGGTCTGAGGATAAATAGAGCAGGATGGCTAAGCATCGTGTGGTTATTAGTTGTTGCTCTGCTGTGAAACTTGCATGAGATGTAAAAGTCACGTTCGCCTGCAATTTGCCACCTCTTCCACATTCGGGATGAGGTGGGGGAAGAATCCTTGCTAGGTAATTCACATTTCTGCAAATTACTAAATGACTCAGCGTGTTGTCCAATGATGAGGGCTAGAAGCTTGGTTCATTTTAAACAGAACCTGCAGTTCTCAAGGTGCAGCTAAATGTGAAGGCAGCCCAAGCTCTTCCAAGCCATCACCTTGATGGCCAGCCAAACTTTGTGGATGACAAAGTTCCAGAGCGAGGGATGATGCTGACGGGGTCTTCTGAAATCACGCTGATCTGGATGCCCAGAACAAATGAACCCTCTACTACTCATGGATCACACTTTGTCCCCGTTGCTCTCAACTTCATATGCTCTGAAAGTAGCAAGAAGCCTCACAGCTTTACAAATAGCTCCAAGGTTCGGGGAAGCGTATGGCTGAATCCTCCATGCCTCCAAAATTCCTTCTCTCCTGTCATTTTTGCTTCTGGAAGAGGGGCAGGGGAGTCTTCTGATGGCCACCAGGAGAAAAATGACTGAGGAGGTGATTTAGGGGGTGGAGATGTGAGCAGAGCAAAAATTCGGTACACCCTCCCAACTGCCCACGTTGCACTTAACATCAAACCCCCCATTCCATCCACTTAGTAAGGAAGTTATTCGGTGAGTGACCCAACTCTTAACACATGCTGGGGATCAAAGTTTCTGTTGAAAAGAAAACAAGGCCCTATAATGACTCTCAATAAGCTGCGCGGCAGTCTGAGTTTCCAAAGCTTTGCACCCTGCAGCGTGGCTTCAGACATAAAGGCAATGCTCAACATTCATCTGGGCCTTCCTCGTAGCTGAGTGGTTGGGCATCTGCTTTGCATGCCAGAAGGTCCCTGGTTCAATTCCTGGCATCTCCAGGTAGGGCTGGGAATTCCTGCTGTCTAAAATCCAGACGAGCTGCTCCCAGCCATTGTAGACAATAAGGGATATTGTTCTAGTCAGTTCTTCATTTTTCCCAATCATAAATTTGGTTATCCACATTTCTTCAGCAATTTGTGTATTTTCTTTAAAAAAAAAAGAAATCATGAAGATTCTTCAGCATTTTAAAGTGAATTTCTCATAATAAACACACTTTTATGCTGTTTTGACTAATGGATATGTTGTTGCTAGGAATTTATCCTAATATAATGAATCATTGTGTGCTAATATATCACATCGTGTGCTAAACATATTTTCACTAATATATCAATTCTAATGCCCACTTTCCCATGACATATGCTTTAAAAAACAACAAAAAAACCATTGGTTGGGAAACCCCATTGCAAAATTCATATAAGTGTGGCATTTGAAGGATGGCTGAGTTTCGGTTCTCATATTGTTTTGGATAGTGCAAATTTAACTGATCCACATTTAAATGTCTTTTACTTTTCTTTGTTTATTGCATTTCCATCCCACTTCTTTTCTCCAAGGTTCAACCCCTCCCCATCTTATCTACACAACAACCCTGGGAGGTCGGCCGAGTGGGGATTTGAACCCTGGTCTGTCTCCCAGGTCCTAGTCCTACACTCCAACCACTGCACCACGCTGGTGCAAATGGAATAAAAATCCTCTCCCATCCCTAGGAGACAACCCTGAGCTTGATGGACCAACATTCTGACTCAGCAGTAAGGAAGCTGTCTGTGTTTTTCAGGTGCTTTTCATTCCTTACCTGCCTCGGCTCAGATGACCTCCTGGCCTTCTCCTTGCGGCCTCTCTCTGTTCTGGAAGCATCGCAGGGAAGTGCGCGACGACCCCCTTTGGCGGGCGCGCAGGTACTCACGGTAGTTGCGTGTCAGCAAGGTGTAGAGGAAGGGGTTGATGCAGCTGTTGCCGTAAGTCAAGCAAGTCACCAAGTGGTTGATGGAGATCTCTGTGTGGACAGGCAGCCGGGCAGCCTGCTGGCAGTAAAGAGGCAGGAGCTGCCAGACCCAGAAGGGCAAATAGCAAGCCCAAAAGGCCAGGACAATGACGAGGATGAGGAGGAAGACCCGGTTCTTTGGAGAGCGGCCCAACCCGCCGCGCGTCTGCGACACCCAATAAGTCCTGGCCAAGCGCCAGTAGAGGGACCCGATGATGATGCCGGGAGCCACGATGCTGGTGCTGAACAGGACGCTCAGGTAGACCCTGTACTGCTCCTCACTCCAGGTTGGGGAGCAGAGACGCCGGACGGGCACGCCGTCCCCCACCGCCCGCTCCTCCTGGTGGATCATCACCATCATGGGCAGGGCCAGGGCAAAGGACAGGAGCCAGATGGCCAGGGCCAGAGGTCGTCGGCAGCGTCGCGCACGCCTTGCGGCCTGGAAGGGGTGGGCCACGGCAGCGTAGCGCTCACAGCTCATCAGGGTGAGCAGGAAGATGCTGGCATGCATGGTGAGGAGGTCCAGGCTGAGGAGGACCCGGCAGCCGGCCTCGCCGAAAAGCCAGTCCTTCACCAGCCCGTTGTGGACAATGAAGGGGGCCGTCGACAGGTATAGCAGGTCGGCCAAGGCCAGGTTGACCAAGTGGACACGGAGCGAGGAAGCTGAGGGTGATGCCCGCACCACGGCCAAGGCGTAGAGGTTTCCCGCCACACCGGTGGCACACATCAGACTCAGCACAGCTCCCAGGGCTGCGGCTGACTCACCTCCCTCCGACACAGTCCCGTTGCCCAGGGGCACCCACAACGAAAGGTTGGTTGTTGGTGGGTCCATGGGGAGAGGACCGAGGGTAGGGTGTCCAGGAGAACTTCTTAACATCCCCCTGGGCCTTCAGAGAAAGCGAGACAGCAGAACTGTGCTCTTTTCTGACCTACCTACCTACTTTTTGTTTTAGCTGCACATCTATCTGTCTTCCAGGCTGTCTCTGTGTCCATTTGTCTACCTATTTTTCTTCCACTTACTTCTGATCCTCCGAGAAAGAGAGAGGAGTTGATCTGAGTGTGCAAAAGTTTTTCTGTCGGGGTTCAGCTCCCCAAAGACCTCTCTTCTGTGCGGTGCACACGGTTTCTGCTCCGCATCCGGACATGAAGGGCTTTTTGTTCCTCGCCTTGTTCCTCTGCTCAGTGTGTCCAAAGCTCAGCGGTGACACAAGGTCTCCAGAGTGTGCAAGGAGTATCTCTGAGTGTCTGTCTGGGGCTGCGAAGAATTCTCTTCTCCTGCATTCCTCGCACCCTGCTAGTGTCGGTATGTTGGGGTCGAATCTTGACCCGGCCCCACACGGGGAGCACAGCTCTCGGCTCCTGTCTGAACTGAAGAACCTGTTTATTTCATCCTTGGGGTGGAATTCTGACAGCGTGTCAGCAGAAGGGACTGCGGGGCGGGCGATGGGACAACGTACGGGGGTCCGATTGGTCCGGAGTTTGCAACAGTAAGAATCGCCACCTCCTTTTTCTCCCCCACACCAAACAGGCAGACACCCAGGGTCCAACTCCCTGCTGGCATAGTCATGCAGCTTTCCATGGAATGATGCCAACCAAGAGAGAGAGAGCGAAAAAAAATAACCAAGAGATAGAAAGACAGAAGGAGACTGTATGGATCAATGGATAAAAGAAACTCATAAATGCAAAAGCAGAGAGAGAGAGAGAGAGAGAGAGAGAGAGAGAGAGAGAGAGGTGGGAAGAAAATGAGCAGGCAAGACAGGGACGACCAGACCCACCTCTTGTTCATCATCAGTTTATTTATATAGACCACTTTTCCAGAAAAATTGTGTTCACAACATACTAATTGAACAATAATAAATACAATTAATATGTATCTACAAATACATATGAATCATATGTATTCATAGGACTATAAATACAGAAATCCATACAACATGATATAAAACATTAAATAAAACAATACAAAAAGGTGTAGCCTAACTTATCAGCTCAGGAGAAAGAATGTCCATCACAAAAATAAACTTAATAGCACAGTGGGTACCTCAGTTTTCGAACGTAATCTGTTCCGGAAGACCATCCAAGTTCCAAAACGTTTGAAAATTGAAAACTCAGTACGGAAGCCTCAATACGGAAAACTCAATACGGAAGCCACGTGGCATGTTCAACTTCCGGGGCAAGTTCAAAAACCAAAGCATTTACTTCCGGGTTTACAGCTTTAGAAAACCGAGGTATCACTGTATACAAAATGGAGGGTTGGGTGCACGTCACTCTCCTCAAAGGACATTAGATCTGTTCCTGCATCAAGGTAAGTAGCTGGGAACAGATGGCCTTTCTGTATTATTAACAATGGATTTTCATTTCTACCTCTAATTCATAGTCCCACACATAAAATAAATATTTTCGTCCTTTTTTTGCCTGCCTAGTTTAAGAGAACTTAGGGATAAGCGATTCAGCCAGGGTCTACTTTGTCATAGACGTCATACTTTCTCGTCCTTTCCTCCCCAAAACACTTTGTTTTGGTTTCTGGAATAAGGATGTTTTGTTCACCATCATGAAATAGGGAGAACTTCAACAACAAGTCCTCAACATAGTAGAATGCCTTATTATTGATTTGCTACTTAAACATATTTCAGACCTCTCTTTCAGCTTATCAGGAGCCCCACTCTTCACCATGCAAAAAGGCTGTCAAAGTGAGAAGATGAGCTGTGGTTTTTAGATCCCTGAATATCCACCAAGTAAGCCTTCACCAACCTGGTGAAGGTTATGTAACCCCTACGAGCAGGTAGTGGGGCCCATGGGGCTGCAGGAGAGGAAGGAAAAGTCCTGTTGCATGAGATGCCTGTTCCACCGGTGGATAGACACTGTTGGATGTCACCTACGGTCTGAATTTTCTGGCTGCTAATGTAACTTATGTTCTAGGATTGTGTGAGTCACCTGGTACGTGTTATGCCCTAAAAGGAAGGCTGCAGTAAGTACTGCGGTTATTAAAATTGTGCATATGGAAGCAATAGGATGACTAAAACCCTATTCTTCTTGGAATAAAAATTGTCCAGACCCAAAATATGGTTCCAAAGCTTTACTAACAGAACTTGTTCCAAAACAGACTTACAACAATTAGGATACATCCAAATAGTTGCCTAAAATCATGTGCTTGTCCAAGCATAGGCAGAACATCTTAAAAATATAAAATTACTTCAAACAGAACTGAAAGCAAAGTTTTTTCTCTCCACACAGACTCCATTCAACCTGACTGTATTCCCTCCAGAATAAACACCATTAGCACATCCTTCGTCTTTGGTGGCTTGAGAACAAAGACTTGGCTCACACAAAATGGCGATTTGCAACTGAATACCCCTCTCATTTGATTTAAGTTAAACACCACATGAGAGAGTAGCAGAGATACATTCTCAGTTAATTATCCCTTTATTAGGAACTCAGAGAGTCTCACTTAGCTTCAGTGGAGTTTTCTATGGTCCCTTTAGCCATGCACATACAGAGTTATTTCCCTTTTCAATGCACAATTAAACAATTATACTTAATAAGTGTATGTGTGTGTGTATCACTGAACATTTATGCAATTTGACCTTTAATGAGGCTGCATATATTCTCTAACTGAAACAGGGACACGTGTCTATTAGCCCTATTCTTATGCCCAGAATCACTGCCTGATTCTGCTTCTCTCACTTTCACATTGTTGCAGATTGTTAAAGACTGTACCACTTAATGCAGGCATAGGAAACCTTTGACCCAATGGATGGTGTTGACTTACAACACTCAACAACACTGAGTGTTGATCCAAGCGGCCAGGCTGGTTGGGGTTGATGGGAGGTGTAGTTTAGCAACATCTGATCTAATGTATGCTATATCCATTTACTCTGCAATAAGCTGTGCTCAACTAAAAGGGTGTGGGTTCCTTTTGTTTAATGATAGACTGGGGAAATGTTACTGGTCTGCAATATAGCTAATACAGCGGTACCTCAGGTTAAGTACTTAATTCGTTCCGGAGGTCCATTCTTAACC